AGGGCAGCGGCGCAATTCTTCTACCTCTTCCACCAAGCCGCCAACTGCTCACTACCTATTTCAACAGCCACAGCGGTAACAGAAACATGAATAAAGCCAGCAAGCATATACAGAGTGGTATCGGGGTGACTACATCACCCACCGCCGTCAATGCAGTCGGCGCACTATCTACACAAAAGAATGTCATCAATTCCATAATGAGTTTTTTGCCCGACAATCGGCCCATAACATCGTTGCAAATTGTTGAGGATTATGAAAAGTATGTAGAAACTTATAGACAGCAAAAATCGTATATAAACATTCGTAAATAAGATTGCATGTGAGATACATATCTCAGTACATACATATATAAATATACGACACAGCTGCGTCCGAGCATAGGGTGCTTACGGCAATTCTCAAAACGAAAATTACACTTGCAGAAGTGCCGCCATTAGTCAGTTGCTTTGCTAATAAAAGTAGCTGATGGTTGCCTAAGAAAGTGGCTGCTGCTGTTTGGGCCGATTCCCGTAAGTTCTTGGCCTCACAAGCAGCGGTTAATGCTATTATTGTTGCTGTTGTCTCGGCTGCTTGGGTAGGACGTTCTTATTGTTGCTTCGTCGATTGGCACTCTTGCTTGCGGTCGCAAAATTAGCCCACAATGCTTCCGCATGCATGAATTTTTCTTGAAATTCCCTGCATAAGTATTAGATAGTTGTATAAATGGCCCCCTTCACTTTGGTGTAAATGTCATGCTATATGCGTACAAACTTACATATGTACATATTACGTGCGTTGGATGGACGCAGTGCACTGTGGGTCGGAAATCTTGTATGGGCGAAGTACATTTTTTTGGATGTGGTGGAAATGTACAACACATTAGAATATGCATAAAAATTAAAGTAAACAATAAAACTCAAATAAAAAATTAAATTTTTCTATTTTCCAGGACCTTTTAAAAAATATCCTGAGGTCCTGGTGTTTGTCGTACGGATGTCTCGTGGGATCCGCATCACTTCGGTAAAGTTACGATGTAGACATTGTAACAGGTTTAACTCTGACTTATGCAGAATCTATCTGGCTTGCAACCATTCCTTCGCCTGATTCTCAAACCTGCTGCAATTGAATGTGTAAGAGCTGGATACATCGAATTTTTTTGATCTTGCATGGTTTTTGTCTTCCTTTTCACCGATTTCAAAAAAAGGAGGAGGTTATAAATTCATCGAAATGTTTTTTTTATGTATGTACATATGTGTGTTACCGCATAACTTTGGACAACGTTAACCGATTTCTGTAAAGGTTTTAAAATGTATGGTTGGTTTTAATGATTCCAATTCGAGATTTTATTTACCTTAAGATTTACAATTTACGTTCTAACTTTAATATAGTGCGAGTGACTTTATAATCAAGGGAATGATTAAATTAACAATGCAAATTGAATGAATTAATTTATGAATGTACGTAGATATGTACATATGGGAATTCAGTTTGAATGAACAATGGGTTTTCGTTTTATATGAAATTAATTTAATGGAGCTACTTATGTATATTTTGGAGATGGTAAAGATGATCGGGGATGATTATGTTTCCCACGTTGGATGAATCTGGTGGCTCCGTCACGATGATCGATGATATAAGGTTGGCTGCTATGAAGATATTAAGTAAGCTGAAAGAGAGCCCATCGAAAGAAGTATGTATTTTCAATTCTGTTCGTCCGATACGGAGTTTCTTTGTAATCGACAAGTCGCTTTGGAAAGATACAACTCTCTTGTCTGCTGGTCAAAATGTTTGCCTCTCTCACCGGTTCTTCAAGTCTGGTACTAATTCCTGGGCTTTCGAGAAACGATGATCATGTCGGGTCTCGCCTTTTTCCCTACCAATTGTAGCATCAGATCCTTTCGGATTCTAAGCTCCTAATCGAAAAACTGAGGAGCATTCCTGTATTAATATGAGACTAAGCAGTGGAATGAGTATATCTATATTAATAAACGACTCACTTCAAGGCTTTACAGATCAGTGATCCTGTCGGAGCACATATCTATCTTCAAAACGGTCTGAGTATAAGTTGTATCTCTGAGGCCTTTGATCCGTCAAATTCCTTAGCCAATAAACATATCTGAAAACTGATAAATATGTAGCTTGAAGGAAGATCATCATCCTATATAGGAAATAATGTCGTTAGTTTTTGTACTTGGCCCACTGTGCCGACCAACTTGCTTGCCCCCATGCATTTTTTTTTTTCTTAACCAAGAAGTGAGTTCTAGCGCTTTAACTCGAGCAGCTCGCGCTTGCGTGTGGCGTTTTTTTCGTCACGCTTCAACTGCAGCGCTGTCGCAACATGAGTTTTTACTTTTATTTCTACCAACCGCTTCCTATTTCTATTGCCTATTTGCAGCTTATTCTAAAATTGTCTTCATTATTTTCTAGATGCCCAAAGAATTTCACACCCGTACATCGTACATACGATCAAGATGCCGATGCCGATTTATGGCGTGAAAATAATATACTCTTTGGCCGCCAAACCACACGCTATTTATGCTTATCGAAGACTGAGGGCTTGCCCGAGTACGTAGTGGAGACGCTCAAGTAAGTAATGGAAAAAATACTTAAGTTTGTCTAAATATTCTTGCAAGTATATCTTTGTGTATCTAGGAGTAAATAATTTACATTATATGCATGTGTGTGTGTATGCATAGTTTATAATCATTTAATTAATCGTGTTTTTGTTTTTCTAGATAGGCGGATATGTACTTTAGTTGGGTGAATGGTTGAGCAGCGAACGAGTGTGGAAATTTTCGATATTGGTGTGCAAATTCTTTGCAAAATTAATTTATTTATACGTATGTATGTACATATCGTTACCTCAATATAGAAATGCCCTAACTCATTTTCTATTCAAATCCAGTATTGTATAAAAGTCTGCCGATAACTCACTAAGCACCTATTGGATTTTAAAAATGTCTACTACGGCATAAAATTAGTTACACTCTTAAATAAAAACAGCCTTTAAAAGAAATTCGCAGCAAAAGGACTCATTACTTCGTAAAGAAATTAAAATTTTAGATAACACCTTTCTATATCAAGGTAACGATACGTACGTATGTATATTCAACTGTAGAACTATTTATTTTCATTTCATTTACGCTCGAATTTTCCGCTCTGCTAGTTTCTGTTCGCCATCCGCAATACGAGTATAATCAATTGCTGCACTTTCTGTGGTATTCCGTTCGATTCCCTCGCAATGCAGGTGCAATTTTTTCTGCTTAGTGTGTTCTAAAAATACCCCCTTTGGTTTGGTGAGCTCTCGAAATGTGCCAATAGCGCATGCAACAGTGAAATTATGTATACAATTGGTAATCGTTAGTCCAGTTCAATATGCAAATGACTCATTGAGACCTTGACTAATTGATTCGCTTTACATGCTTAAATATATTTACGCGTGTTATAAAAGCTCAATCTATGTGAATAGCTAATTATGTCAATTTAAAAGCGTTCTGCTTTTCAGTTGTTTGCTATTTTAAATTAGACTTTGAACAATATCGCTGAAAGGTGCTTTCCAAAGTGAACAAAGTATTTACAAACTGGAAACAGAAAGCTTTTTGGGAAACTTCAAATGTTTCCTTTGTGATTTGATGATGCACAGCTTTCTGTGGCTATTATAAGAAATGTCAAATTTAAAATTAGCTTCTGTGGCAATCTTGAGATAAGTTATATCAAAAAGAGCGTCGTATATGAACTATCTGCCTAACAAAAACTCTCAAAGTCTAACAGCAACTGGGATTCATCGTTGTGCAGCGAAAAGTTAGACAATAAGTTCTCATAAAGCAGCCTCTCGACCCGTTAGCATATCGACAGGCCCTGAGCGGCATTCACAGGGAGTCGGTCTCAAGTTACGTAAACTCCAGAACTGTAAATGCCGTTCTTCGTCTGAGCTTCGTCTGCCCCGGGAGACTCGGACCACAGTAGCCCGTAGCTCCGGCTACTGCAGCCTGTTGAACTCGTACCTGGTCAAACTGGATGTAGAGGTGCAAAATGTGTGCCCGGCATGCGGAGAGACACCACACGACTCGAAACATCTCTTCGCATGTCCACTAAACCCCACTCAACTGACGCCTCTGTTTCTACGGACGGACCCTATAGAAGCAGCACGCTTCTTCGGTCTCCCATTAGTTGAGCTTGACGACAACGACTGAGTGACTAGCCGAACTGGGCGAGGTTGTTGTAGCCGCTACAATAACAACAACAATAATAAGTTCTCAACTCCAAGGTACTCTGAGGCTGTTATCCCCTTAATTTTGGCCGGTGAATGCTGCTCTGATAACGAAAAACCGACAGAAAAAATTGTTAGAGCATTTAAAATCCCACAATCGTTAAGCTGGAGCCGGGAATTCGGGGCAGTTGTCAAGTGCACGTGATGATCTCGGCAATTTGTATTTGACTCTGGAAGGCACTAAGTCAGACACAAAACGCTCAAAAAATTTAAAAGCTGCGCCTAAAAAACTCATCCCAAATAATAGAAGGCCTTCGCCAAAAGCGTATGTACATAATATGTACTATATATAATCCAATGGTGCGCCATGAGTAAAATTCGAGCCAGATTTTAATTCTCAGCATTAGACAAATATTCCATTATAAAACCTTTAATAATGACAGAATCACGCACACCCCTATTGTTTGATTATAAATTAAATTATATTTTGCTTTCTAAAAGCTCCCTCAATTACAGCTGCGTGCAATTTTATTATTATTCATTCTGCATAATTGCGGTTTTTCTTCATATATTGTACATAAATACATTGAAAAAAGTCAACTGGTTAAATCTAAAAAAAGTTGACTAAATAAATAACAATGTTTACTATGTATACAACAAAATAATAGCACTACCAATTTAAACAAATAATACGTTTATGTCTGCATTCAATTGTACGAGGAACGTTCGAAAAGTGCCCATTATTAGTTACAGTTAAAGTTGCTCGCTTGAAAATAGCTTATTAGCTGAGCTCAGTACTTATCAGCTTGCTGACCCGTTCAACTCTTAACCTCATCACCTTGCCTTCTCGCTGTGTGCGCGAGGCATTATTTAGAAACTAACTCGCGTGTAGAGTTGCTTGTACTGTACTCTAGTAAATTGTTAGACTCACCGAATATGGTTAATAAAAAGAGAAATTTGACAAGGGATGACGGAAGATCGTTCCACAATACATCATACTCTTACCCTGTCGGAAACCCAAACAACCAAAAAGAAGTTAATCAGAATCATTAGAAAATTATATATGTTTAATTATTTGCTATGTAGGTATTTTTAAATCGATCCTCGTGCTTGTAAAACCACGTCTCATTGTTTAATTTATCAATGTATGTCGCAGCTTTAATAAGCAAACAATGAATGGTAGGAAAAAATATGTTGTATTTATTAAGTGTACAGTGTAGTACAAATATACACAGATAACAATTCAATAACAAATAAATATAAGAAATGAACAATAAACAATAATAAAGTGCGTACAGATGTACGTATGTATGTACATAATATGAATATGCATACATATGTATGTATGTACAATACAAATTTTAAAGTAGCAGATGTTTTAACAGAGTAAAAAAGCCATCCTTCCTAAATAAAAACACTATCAGCTGATTGCCAAAAAAATGCCTACAGCTGAGATCACCTGTTTTTGGCATTTGCTCTTATCTTTTACAATTTCTTTCATTTCTATTACAATTTCTTCCATTTCTATTACAATTTATTCAAAATACACTAACAAATTGAACCAAAAATACCAATACACTAACCAAAAACACACCTACAGCCTGCCAGAAAAAACGATAAGAAGAAGAGTTACTTTACTTATGAAACTGTACGATGAAGAAGCGTTGATTTTATTGCTCTTGGACAAAATCGAAAACAGCTTTAGTGCACAAAACAAGCCAAACGGCAAATTATGCAAAAAAAAAATGCTTTTATTATTTTTAACCAATTTTTAAACCGCTTTCCAAGTCCTTATATTTTTTTTTTAAGAAGACGGTTTAAACAAAAAAAAAAATTTTACGACAAAATCAAAACCAGTTTTAGTGTAAAAAAGAAGCCAAACGGCAAATTGTGCAACAAAAAAATTAATTGTTTTTATTATTTTTAACCATATTTTAAACCGCTTTCTAAGTCCCTATTTTTTTGGTTTAAATAGCCTTATTTAAAAAAATTAGTGACTTGGAGAGCGGCTTAAAAATTGGTTAAAAATAATAAAAACACAGGCCTATCACAGATTCCGAGTGAAGTCCCGTCGTAAAAATATCTCCCGTCACGAATTCTGGAGAAATGCTATTAGCAATTCCGACGCATTCGTAGTTCGTGCTGCCTTTGATTTTTGTTTGTTTTTATGTTTTGTATTAATAATTCTAAATCAAGATATAATAAATCACAATAAAATAACTCGAAATCAGTGATACCATTCTCACGAATTTCGAATTTGCGGAAGAATTTCGTGATCACGATCGATAGGGACTTGGAAAGCGGTTTAAAAATTGGTTAAAAATAATAAAACCAATTAATTTTTTTTTATATAATTTGCCGTTCGGCTTGTTTTGTGCGCTAAAACTATTTTTGATTTATTACTGTTTGTTGAAATTTGAAAGTGGTACATAAAGCAACCGCTTTGGGTTTTCTATGTTATTATTATTCTTTTCTTCTAAAAATTATTGAACATTGAAAAAAAAAATTGCAAACAAAATTTTAATTTTTTTTTTAAGTTTATCTTGGAACGGCAAAAAACGGCAAATTTGGAAATAAAGGCTAGTCTTTTGTCTTTGAGTTTGGAGGGGTGCTTCGCGAACTTTATATAAAGCAAAACACCTTATATCTAAAAAAAAAAATACAAGAGCGACAAAATTATTTTTTCCACAACTATTTAACGCCAAAAAAACGGCAAATTCATGGGTATATGCGACATTTTTTTCTTCATGTTGTTTCGCTAAATTTATACAAATAAAAATCCGTGTTTCTAACGAATTAGCATTAGGAATTTCACGAATTAACACCAACATCAATCATTCATCAAGCGTATTGAGTCATCTACGATTTCAAAGTAATTGTATTTAATTCACAAGTGAATGATGTTGGGATTTTACATTTAACGACGACATAACAGCGCAAAGGTGGAGGCCAAAAAAAAAAACAGTACAACAATCTCAAATCAACGCAACTTGGGCGGGCTGGGCTGCTGGTGTAGAGTTCAAAGAACCTACGACACAATTACTGTTGCACAGCTAAGTTATGTAATCAAAGCAATATTGCATAATGCGGAGCGATTATTTAATGTGGGAGATGCAGTTAATAATTAGAAGGTTAAATGAAAAACATACATACATACCTACTCACAAATAATTGTATGGAATTTGGAATGTACATACGGATGTATGTATGTATGTACTTGTATAAAAATGGGTGCACACCTGTCAAAAATAGATGAGTAGCAGTAAAGAAGTATTTGTACTAATTATTTAATTTAAATGTTTTTTTTTCAGTTGAGCTAGCAAATTTATAGTCGAAAAACATGTATGAATGTTTATCTATTGTCATTGAAAATATTAATTAAGTCGTGTAAAATAATTCGCTCGAAATAAACCTACTTATTTATACAACTCAACCGTGTTTCTATTATTTTAAATTTTCAAACAATTAACCTATGTACTTAAATATTAAAATACATTTTTTGCTCCTTATCAACAACCGAAAATCCAACATAAAAAGTTTAAATTCTAAACATTTCTGCCAAATGTAAATTTTCAAGAATTATCACTTCTTGATAATAATCCGACTTTTGACTTTTGACTACAAGTGCAAGCACCTCATATAAGTTGCGTTCCCGTACCTGTTATTGAAAGTTATCAAAAACTATCAGCTTTTTGCGTTCGCGTACTAAAAACTTGCAAAGTAGGGGAAATTTAGAGAGCAAAGTGACATTTCATTTTGAGGGGAAGCTGTTAGTTTTTGCTGGAAAACATTTGCTAGAACTGCAAGTTACTTAAACTTAAAAATCATCAAAATAAATTTCATAAATTGCAAACAGATAACTTTGTGCTGGCAAATTCCTCGATTTCCCCTACTTTGCTACCTGATAATTTGTGATTATTTGCAATAATTATCAGCTTGTCGAACAGACTAATAAATATCGTCACCTGAAATGCAAAAAGACGTATCAACATCGTAACTGAAATAGAAAAGTCGTGACTAATATTTTAATTTCTTTCTTCATAAAATGATGTGGGGAGTTGTAATTCGATAAAATCCATCATATAAATAAAAAAGTGAATTTTGATATTTTTAATAGTTATGACTTTCTGCATTTCAACAATGTTGTTTGTTACGTATTTTTGCATTTCAGGTGACTATATGTACATCGATGTTTACGCAAATTTATTCGGTGATTCATAGCTTATAGCCGGTTTGTTGACAGTGGGAAAAAAGCAAATATTTGCTTCGAATGCATCTAATGAATATTTAAAATGTGTAACGGACATCAATTAGCATATGAAGAAATGTTTTCTTAACTTTACTTTAGTTATTTACCTTAATCTTTTTCTACTTAAATTAGTTCCCAATAGGTGTATTCTACACTAGTGTATCAGTTTTTGTATAACTTTTTTCATTTTAAGAAAAAACTATTCAATGGCCAATCAAAGATTTTTACAGATTTTTTTTTACAAATTAACGTTTTAAAAATTCCAAATTCATGCCAAAATGCATTTTCGACAAGTCCTACGTCATTTTAAATCAGCTAAGTTTAAAATTCATATTTTTAGAAGTTTCCTTCGAACTATTTGTAAAAAATTTAGATATTTCTGAACCTAGAGTTTCGTAAAGATGTCACACTTTCATTTTAATCTACCAAAAGTCCATTTCTCACCTCAGTACTTAGCGAAATTGCAAGTAAATCCAATTATTTACCTACATAACCTCAACACTAAACTCAACCATAACCTCAACAGCATCTATAGTAATTATATCGCGTGCAGAAATGTAAATGAAAACCAAAACTGAAAAAATATTATAATTTCAGTTTGATTTAGGCAAAACTATTTCTTTTTCGCCTGCCTATTTCTTAACTAAATTCCGTAAAAACTATTCAAAAATATATTTCTTAAATTTGCATTACTTCAAATTTGCATTTCAAATCCATAACCTCTAAAAAAAAGACTAGTACATAATTACCTTGCATTTATGTATTTCCAGAGTTATACCCGAGAAAACACAACCTCCCAAAGAATTTTCGCTGCTCTCGCGTACCGCCGACACAGAACAAAAGGCGTGGCGCAAGCGACAAATTTCCTATAAACTTACCAAGCGCGGCAATGTCACACAAGCCGTCACCGACATAATTCTGTGCTCAAAATTAAAAGTAGCACCTGAGGGCTTCAAATTAGCTGGGTAAACAAACAAATAATAAATACATATTTCGAAAATATCATTTTCCTTTCCACTAAATCTACTTTTCACTTTTGTGCAGTGATATAAATGGCGTATTGATTTGTTACAAAACCGGTGCCATACCCATACGTTCACCGCCACCGGTACCAGGTGTCGCGTCACACTTACTAAACGGCGGCAGCGCAGGCAACATCAGCAATGGCAGCAGTGAGGTGGAGAAGGCGTTGAATCGTTTAAATTTGAGCGGTGGTGGTGGCGCAACCAACTGGAATGGTGGGCCACCCAAGCAGCCAGTAGGTGTATTATATTATTACATAGGCACTAAGAAGTTATTATTTTTTTTTACTTTTGTTTTGCAAATTTTAGCTACCACCTGTGCCCAGTGACCATGACTACGAAGAAATACAGGCTTCATATCAAATCAAGTCACCGCAGCGACCTGCACCGCGTCCACCCTTCACAGCCAATACGGCCACAAACACTTCAGGACATAGTGTAGGCACTTTGGGTGCCTACTCTGAAGTAGAGGGTGTGCCATTCATAATAAATCCAACGCTGAAGCGTGTCACCGACAATGATGTGAGTGAACATTTTTATTAGGATTTTTGCAAAATTTTTGGATAATGTGGTTAAGAAATATAGTATATTGGGGGCTTGAGTGGGTTCGCTTCGCGTTCTTAGACGAAGTGAGAATGACAGCAAATTTTCATTTGTCAACTGTTCTTTTGAAAGCATCAAAAGTTGGCAAAGTTTTTGTTTTTTGGGTCGAAAATTTACGGCAAAAAATGTTGGTTGTTCTTTCTTTTTACAAAACCCTAAAGTGAACTTTACTCAAGCCCCCTCCATATAATATACATACAGTTGCGTACAAAAATGGATTAATGGGTTTTCGTTTTTAATATTTACATTGTTTTTCAAGCTAAAATTTTGTTGATATTTTTTTTATAAAAAATGTCGTTCATGCTTTAACAAAAACTGTATAAATCACACTTACAAACTTTATATAGACCTTAGAAAAATTCCACAAATTTTTATCTAAATTTTGAGCTTTTAAATCAGAATTTTTAGCAATTTTTTGGGTATGCAGTTAACAAGCTTATAAAATTCTAGTAAATAAGTGCAAGGATTGAGCGACTAAAACCCGCATTGATTTTTAATAGTATTATTTTACTTAGAAAAATATCAAAAACATGTTAGCTTGAAAAACATTGTAAATATTAAAAACGAAACACCATTCATCCATTTTTGGCCACCACTGTACATACATATGTATGCAATCTTTCATGAAGTATAGAATAAAACTAATTTAAATACATATGTATATCCACTTTTCATTTTTCCAGTTACCTACACTGCCACAAATCGCAGACGTGCTTAAGGGACTCGATTATGATTTTCAATTAGAGCGACAAATACTTTGCACTATGAAATCATCGGCATCGAAAAATCCATTCTTTAAATAAACAAAACAACACTTTCTGCAAGCATATATTAAGAAACAATAAAACATAAACAAAAATTATTAGATGCATATGTTTTAAAATTAGCTGTTATAAACAATGTTAAGAATTGACTAAAGAATTTCGAAAATGTTTTATCACTAAAAGAAATTAAAAAATTGTTAAATGCGCTCGCAAAAACAAAGTGAGAAATTTAATAAAAACAATTAAATTGAAAAATCAATTAAATTAAAACTAATAGCAATAAAAATTAAGAATTAATTAACACAAAGAAAAAACGAAAAGTAAAGAAGCTGGAACACTCGAATGCACAGACGCAATTTAGCGTAACTGTAGCGAGTTTATCTGCACTTAAAAAAAACACTTAAAACGTAAGAAAAGCGTACTTTTCAAACGCATACAACATTTCTTGCATTCATTTTTACTGTATTTACTACACTGCAAAACGAAATTAGCGCTTACTTGTTCGGCTATCGAGTCGCATTTGTTTTTAAATTCTAAATTATATACTTAATTTTACATAATTCTTTAGTTTAGCAAAATAAATGCATTAAAAGACTTTTCCATCTATAACTTTTCTACATCTTCGTGCCTTCCACCTGTTTCTAGCAAATTTTATTTCTCCTAATCCTAATATCTTTTTAAACACTTTTTATATTAAATTAATTTTACCTAAATTAAAACTTTAATTATAACTCGTCCCAGCCTTTTTCACACTCACCAATTCAATGTACACCAATTATTGTGATAAATTTTTGTCATAACAAAGTAAAAATCATATAAAAAAATTTATTATAATTCGCCGTAAATATGTACACGTATATTAAAAATCAGTAATTGCATAGAATTTGATTTTCTATATTACAAAAAAAAAATGTATTTACCACCACATTATACAAAAAATATAAATATACGTGTGTTAATTTAATATAGTTTATTATATACAAAAATAGTAATTATTCTCCAATCGGGCATACGAATAATTATTTATATGCATATAAACATACTGGCGTATAACTAGGCTAGTTGTTAATTGTAAAAGTATTATATATTGGCATATTCATTAGAAGTTTATATTAGTGAACATGTACACACAACTTAAAAAATAAAAATACATACTACATACATAAATACATACTGATAAATAAAATTAAAAACTAATATTGCCGTAAAATTAATCTGCAGCTGTTAAGTTATTTTTTCATTCCTTAAATAAATGCGGCAGTGATACTTTGTATGAGAGAGCATAGCCTGCACAAAATTGTGTGTTAGATGAACACAATCCTTTTTGCTAATAACCAGGGAACGGATTTTTAGTACCTAAAACCCTATAAAAAAAGTCAAAATAAAATAACGAAATAGACTGGAAAAGGCAAAATAAAATAGCGAAATAGGCAGGAACGGCACTAGAAATAGCAAAAAAGGCAAAAGAAGGCATTAAAAAAGACAAAAACTTAAAAATAACACTGTTTTACAGGCAAAATGTTCAACGGATTGTTCTACATATCCATTCCTATATAGAATTGCTTGCTGATTCCGAAAATCGAATTAATTTTTTACTCAATTTAACGGAACGTTTGAAACTTTTATATTATCAGGAGTAAGGGCTTTTTCCTCGCTGAAATCACTTTTTAAAGGTATAGTAGGAACAAAAAGGCAAATATCTTAGGCAAAAAAAAAGGCATCAAATGTGTGCATATGGAATCAGCGAAAGCTAAATCGTGGACGTTCTTAATCGAATACACTCTATCTCTTTAGCAAAAAAAGACAATTTCCATAAAATCCGTTCCCTGCTCATAACTAGGGCTCGGAATCTCTTGCGCTAAAAAATCTAAAATATGCGCATATACATACATAGTATATGCACCCAAAATTCAAATATGTGCGCTATGAACAAGTAAAATATGCAATTAAAAATATTTTCCTAATGGACCAGAGCCCTGTGCACACTGCAGTAAGTTAGTATGTATCTTCTTTGCTCATTCCTAAGAGAGCTTTGGTCTAAGTGGGTCGTAGGACACCCAGAACTGCCGGGTACGATCCTGTATGATCCTGTACGGTTCCACCTCTGATTAGCCTTCGAATGATAAATTTCGGTTATTGTTACTTGTTACTGAACCATATTAGGGTAATTTCGTGTTAATCAGAGATATAGACCAGCTCTCTCCTACAGTCTTCCACTAGTTGAGATCTAACAGAGGTAGAAGAGGGTACCTCAATGGCCGCTTGTCTATCCGAGAAGATATTCAGATGAATATTTAAGAACAAATTATAGGGTTTTTTTTTGGCAAGAGATTTCGCACTAAATTTAAATGGTTGTAAATAAAAAAAGCAAAAATATGCACACCGTCTTCAAAAGAGTCACAACTCAAAATAATACGTTTGTCAGAAAATGCGAAAAACTATTTCGTAGCACATGCTAATCATATGGACAAGGGCGACTTTACCTTAGGTTTTTTTTTAACAAATTATAACAAGAATTTGCTCCAGCTTTTGCTACAAATCTGCATACACAAAAAAAACTAAAAAATCTGATTAAAAAGTTTAAAGTTTGATGAATTTTCGCGAGTTTTGCACAAAGTTTAGGAATTATATTTTTATGTTTTTTGTTGTAGAATGAACCATATTTTTATACAAAATTGGCGGAAAAATATTAGAACTGTTCCAATACTTTGTTCCGGCAGTGTATGTATTAAGAGTGCTTTCTTGTTTATTTGGAAATGATAACACAGCCGACATTTTTCAGACCCTGGGATCAGCTTATACTTTTCCAAAGGTTTTTGGCGCGTTGAATCTCAATCCGGAATCAGTTTTTCTAAATTGGCTCAGGTTTTTGAGATAATCGAGCCCAAAGTTGCAAAAAGCACGATTTTCTACTATTTTCGCAATATATTTTCGTCAATAATAATTCTTGTTTTTTAAAAATTTGATGATCTGTTTTAAAGCGAAATATTTTTACTTTAAAATGCTGTTTCCCTTATCCGGATATATTTTTCTTTTACCTGAGATATTGTCCTTTTGAGTTTATGAGTTTTGTGATATTTCTCCCTTTTACTAACCGTTGAAAGATATAAGTCGAAATGGAATATATTTGCAGCACATATTTAGGCTTCTCTATTTGCATTATGAATGTGCATATGTATGTATGTATGTATGTAATAAAATAAATCGAGAAAATACGTATTATGCAATAAAATAAAGTAAATATAGTAATGATATAAAATTAACTTAAATAAATAAATCAAAAATGAAATTAAATCAAATCAAATTAACTTAAAAATGAAATGAAATAAAATTAAACTAACTAAAGTAAACTAACTAAAAATAAATCCTTACTAACTAAAATAAAATCCTTAGGCCCAGAATAACTACAACTTGAATTCTTAAACCATTTGAATTTTTTTTTTTCAAATTTGAATTTATAAAAAAAAACACAAATTTTTCAAGCAACAAATTTTCTTAATAAACATGAAATTGTTAAGAGATAAACCGCCGAGGAGAGCAAGTAAGTACATTTAAAGTTGGATAATAAGTAAATACGTTCGACTTTTCTTAAATATTTAATGTAAGGAAACCAAGATGAAACGGAGCAAAACGGTGCGCTGTATGCAATAAAAGTCAGGACACGAAAATAGTGCGATGTTTTAAAAAACCTAGTTGCGAATTAAGACGGCAGCGATGGGAAGAAAGCTGTATATAAAATATAGAATAAATAAATATTTTATAATTTGCTTTATTTTTGTTTACAAAATATATATATTCCAGGTAATTTAAGTAAAACGAAACTATAATCGAAATAAAAGCCTAGGGCATCCGTGCTGACAAGATACATGCAAAACTAAGGGTTAATTCGTTTGTTTATACTTTTTGACATAATAGTACCTTAAAAGAGAGCCGCACTGAATTGTCAATCACACCTTGTTTAATACACCTTGTGAACAAGAGGCATAGTTGCCAACTTAGCGCTTTAAGCACTAGATTTAGTGCTTTTTGAAAATTAAAACGCCAAAAAAATTATTTAGTGCCTGGTGCATTTTTTAGTGCCCTTTTTCTGAGCTAAAATTACTTCGAGATAGTTAAAACCTGAAATAATTTGAAATATTTAAAGCTGTGGCAGCACTGAATTTACAAGAATCTACAAATTTAAATGGACTAAAATACAACCATGATTGATAAAAAGCTGAACTTGCAAACCCACCTTGTTCAATTCTATTCGCGTTGAAAATGCTAGTACGCAAGTAAGTTAAGTATTTCTTTTTTTCTTTTCTAATTATTTGTACAAATTTTGTTTTTTTTACCACCTGAGTAAAACACACCGTTTCTTGGTGCTGAATCCAAACTGGTTTCACAATTGCTCTAGTACTAGAATTTCAAGATACCCTAACCGCAAAGTGCCAAAAACACGGTTTTTATCGGTATTTGACGTTATATAATGAAAACATCAAATTATTTGCTCATTTCTAATTAGGGCATCATTTTCGTTTGTTGCGAATTGATTTTTCTTTCTCGAGATATACCAGTTTTAATGTGCAGTACTTCGGTACTATGTTATGAAAAAAGCATCCCTTGATTCTAAAAAATTTGGTGCTTTTAGTGTGGTAAAACGTTTTTTTCCAAGTTGTTGGTGCTTTTGAAAAATCAATAGATGGCAACACTGACAAGAGGCATTGCCATTCAGCATCAGAAATTTTCTCCTTCAGCCAATCAGAAAGAGGCAAAAACTTACTTTGACACTATTTGCAGTCAAACAACTGTCAATTTGACCAAGATTTAGCTATTTGCTTGTGGTGGTTGAATAAAACATGCGTAATGTAAAAATATAGAAACCTAAAATTGAACCTTTCAAGGATCCAGGAAAATCTTTGTTTCTAACCAAACGAAATAACGTACGAAGGATGCACCCAAAGATAGCAACGGAAACTATGAATTTCGATCTTTCAATTTTGTTGCAACCGATGCTGTCAAACTTTAATGGAGAATTGTATCGACTATGCACAATCGAAAAATCTACCTTCCGGTCGTGGTATAATTCCGCCATGCCTTCCGCTATAACAAATTGTTTCATGCGATCGACAAGAATAATAAATATTATATTTCTGCTTGCGCTTAGTGCAACTGACGACAAAGACTTGATTTAGCTATAAAATGAAGTTAAACATTCGTTTTTGAATTTTGAACAAATTGTATATCTATCAACCCATCACTGAACACACCTAACGCCGTTGTACTCGTTATTCGTCGGCACCGTATTCTTATTCGATAAAGCAAGCGAGTACGAGCAGGCCACACGCCATTTTAAGTAATTGTGACAAACCGCAAGAAAGTGTTCTATCTTGTTTGTGACGGTAGACGGTAAAACGCTGTTAAATAATTCTTTAAATAACGCAAAAACGTGTACAGGTCACAGCTTAACATACGTGCTACGTCAGAAAATAGATTTTGTGTACGTGCAAAGTGAACATAACGCATAAAAGTTGTAAAAAATTTTCTATCAAGCAGAAAAAAAGATTCTCATTGGATTCTGCTTCCTCTTCGGTCCAGTTAAGCCCCTCACATCGGACGCCCCTCGGCAAATTTTCATTGTAATTTGCTAAGATTCGAACGAGTAGGCTATTTCACAGCTTAGTGCAGCGAGCAAAGTTATAACGAGTTCGAGTAAGAGAGACAAGGCGACTTTCTCTGATAGTGGGCTGAAGTTTTTGCATTACGGCACGCACGCTTGCATAGACGGCATACACATTCGTAGCGTACGTGTGCGGGTGTGTGTGAGTGCGAAAGGTGCAACGAGAGCGGGTGTGAATTGTGTAGGAGAGCAACGAACTCGCGTACAAGCGTCGAGAGAAAGGGTAAGCAATATGTGTTGCATACAGAAACATTTTTTTTTGTTTTCATTTAAAATTTGTAGTATTTTTCATTTGTTTTTGTGAGTGTATTGCCGGTCTGGAAGAAAAAAATGGTAATCAGCATGTTTTCAGAGCTTAAAGCGAAACATATATGAGGTGGTAGCGAAAATTGTAAGCATATAGCTGATAGATTAATTTGAACACTAGTTTGTGTGACAAGTGAGACATGAGTTGCACTTTATTGAAGGGAAGATCATTCAACCTGTCTAACGTGGTGTTGCCAGCTGCAGCTGGCTTAACTTGATTTATGAATGGTTATGAATGAAAGGTTATAAAAAGCTAAAAATGGAATTTGGTAGGATTAACTTGATATGTACGCTGCCCATATTATGTTGCATAATTAAATTTTTTTACTTTATTGCTTCACTAATATAAACTTGTTTGCCATGTGTGCTACCTGGCAACACCTTTAATTCTGCAAATTTCACTTTGGCACATCACGTATACAAATCAATACCTACCTTAGTTGATTCATTCACACGCAAATTTTATTTGCTTGCCAAAAAGAGCCGGCAGCCTTATTTTTAGCTTTGCTATTCATCTCGTTTGGACGTAAAATTCATTTGTTCGGTTAAGCGATAGCCTGACAAAGCCAACTATAGCGACGTTTCGTGATCTATCCACGATTTATCCCGATTACGGAAACGGCAAATGCAGCGGCGGCCGTAAAACCATTCAACGAGCAAACGAAGCAGAAAAGTAGCTGCAGAAAGACGACGAGTGCGAAACGGAAAATTTTTTTCGTGTCGGAATCATAAAATTTCTGCTGCAAGCAAAGAGGAAATTGAATTTAACTACGTTGAAAATTGTGTGAAAAGTTGCGTTCTTAAGTAATTAATAATTTGTCTATGATTGATTGTGTATTGTGACGAAAATTTGTGCGAGAAAAGTTTATACATAAAGAAGAATTCACCGAAGAGGCGACGAAGAAGAAGCAGCATTGGTAGAAAATTTCAATTCTGGTATAGTGTGGTGGAGCACCACCAACAAAAGCAAAAAAAAAAAAAAATCGACGACCAAACGGTCGTGGCGGCGACTGCATCGATAAAGTGGAAGTATTGAATAAGTGTCGATAGGAAACGCCGAAGTCTGAAGGTGTCTCGGAAAAGGAAGAAAAAAAGGTAAAATTGGTGAAAATATTCTTTAAAATTCACGATAAGTGATGACCAAAGCTTTGAAGAAGCTGTTGGTTGGGATAATTATAAAATTGGAGCAGCATACGTATGGGAATAGTAACGAATACTTTTATTTCTTATTGAAGTGAAAGATATGTGGGCTCCCGATTGGAATGAGGTGTGTGTATGCAGCGGGTGGCACCACCATTGAAGTTTAAGAACAAGAACGTAGATCGCAATGGAACATGCAATTTAGCAATAATTATAAGTTGTCAGAAAATGTTGTTAACGAAACCAGGTTCCATATATAACTAAAAGTTTGACGTGTGTCAAAATATCTGTGTAAGCAGCTTATTAAATGTTTAATTTTATACTAAAAACAAACCAAGGCGAAATAATCAGAGTTCATTTTCTTTTCATAGACAAGTTTTACTTATGACAATAAAATACGACAAATTGCACTCACTTATCTGCATTGCTACCTTCTTTTATCCCATATAGTTCCTCGCATCGCTTTAGAGTATCGATACGGACGTCTTATGCCATTATTGCAAGACGCCACCGCATTCTTTCGTTAGGTTTTTTCCACCTTTAATACGCTTTTTGGAGTATGCGCTGCTTGCTACATCTTTGTTTGATTGCATTTGTATATAGTTGGATGCTTTTCATGTTCCCTTTTACTCGTTTTCAATTTTTTTTTTTTGTCTTTTTGGACATTCTTGGTCATTGCCTTTCCTCAATCAAGTGTTGCCAGAAATAATTTCCGTTGCAAAGTCTTTGATTTGTAAAATGAATGTTGTTTATGTATCTTTTGCAAATTTGTACCATTTTCAAGTAGTTCCTGTTAAGAGCGTGTCAGAGATGGCAATATTTCCAACTACCACGCAATTCGCTGTCAAATTGAGAAAGAGAAATTTTATTTCGATGTGTGAACAGCCTTTCTGTTACATTTCGGATATAAAAGTTGCAAGATGTGACTGCAATTGAGAGCGCAAATCGATTCCGGAAGTATATTTCAACTTGCTCGTGATGCACTAGCAATCTGCAAATCGCATTTCGGAAATAAAAACGTCTTTCGAAAGATACTTTACATGCAAAGGTCTAAAGAGCGTGTAAGACGGCAATAAATTTCGGATAAGCTGTCAAATTGAGAAATCAGGGCATGAGCAGTCACACCTTGCATGGAAAGTGTCTTTCGAAAGAGGTTTTTATTTCCGAAAGGCGAATTGCAGGAAAAATTTCTGAAATCGCTTTTTGTCTGTTCACACAGCGAATGAGTTTCTGGCAATCTTTCTCAATACTAAAATGCAACCATGGGCGGTGGGGTTGTCGTTTGTTTGCTATTTGTCTTGTAAAAGCGAAAACGCGAAAAATGAATACTCGTTGTTGTTGTTGTTGGAGCAGCATACAAATTCCCCAAAGACTTTTTGGGGAGTGTTGCTGGAGTGACAGTCCTTGGCCAGATATAAATCTGGGTCGTTCCGGTTACGTAGACCCGACTGTCGTAAGCTGCAGTTGAAAAAGAAAGCAGTTTTATTAAAAATTATTGCAATCCCGTACTCAATCAAAAAAAACACAAACCCAAAAATAAGCAAAAATCAAAACCACAAAATATAGGTGATAATTAACATATTTGCTGTGTGAACAAAAATTTAACAATTAAGTATAATAAGTAATAAGTAAAAATAATATATTTCAAGCATTTTTGATAATTAATCCAACAATATTTTTTATCATTTTACACAAAATCACTGTCAGTGCCACACGGCAACACTCGATTAGTTTGACAGCACTTGCAGAAGAAATAAAAATTGCTAGTGCAGCACGACCAAGTTGAAATATATTTCCGAAATCGATTTTCGCTCTTGCAGTTGCAGGCACACCTTGCAACTTTTATTTCAGAAACTGATTTCCGAAAAGTGACAGAAAGATCTTTCTGGCTGTTCACACATCGAAATAAAATTTCTCTTTCTCAATTTGACAGCGAATTGCGTGCGAAAGACGGAAATATTGCCACGTCTGACAGGCTCTTAACTGCTCATGCGACTGCATTCTGAAATTTATCAATTTGACAGCCTTTTCGAAATTCATTGCACTGCCAGGTCTGACAGGCTTTAATTTTTGGTGTAGAGCCGATTGTGTGCTTGCAATTTTTTTATTTTTTTTTTACACTACAGTTTAAAACAGCCAAGATTGGTACTCGCTGCTTGAAATGCATTTACATATATCGCTCATTTCTCTTTGGACTACTTTTCACTCGTTAGTTCAGCTGCCAAAATAATGCAAAGCTCCGCACTATTTGTCTCGCTCACTCGCAGGTCGTAGGTGCATTTTTAATGAACGCTGCTCTCTCGGGGTTGTGCATTGCTGCCAGTTTGTAAAATTTGACTTATTTTATGCAAGGCTTATTAAATAAGGTAGAAGTGATTTTGACATTTCTCTCTTTTGAACACAGACTATAATGTCAAATGATGAATAACTTTTAACCCTTTTCTAGTTGGCATTTTCTAATTTTCATTAAAAATTCAATTGCGTGCTTTGAGATAGTTTTGGATTGTGTGAATTTTTTTGTTTTTCGACCACATGCATTTATAGATACATACATATACAAAATGAAAAAGATTAGGAACTACGAGCGTTGCATTGTGTGTGGCAATAGTCAATACGTTAAAGTGGTGCTACACTTTAAGGCGCCTAGTTGCGAAGTTAGGAGACTTCATTGGGAGAACACCTGCGGTTCTGTGGAAATCATTTCAACACGAGTGATATTATTACTTGCCCATATTTTTAAGCGCATGCGTTTATACCCAGGTGCAGTTCACATGTTTAAAACAGTTTCATAAAACATTTATTTCATTTAATTACGTGGTTTCCTTTATGAGGTATTCTTTTCTGTCCATATGTATGTATATGTGCATATAAGATGCGAATGCTACTAAAAGAATTTGAAGGTAATATTGAAGTAATTTTTAAAATTAGTACACGTACATACATATGTACAATTTGTATCAAATATAGCACTCCCACCTCAAAGGGTTAATTTGTTTGTTTACAGTTTTTTGACATTGTAACAAGCTACAGGAGAGTTAGAGCTACATAGTTGTCACTTCTACTTTATTAAATATGCCTTGATTTTATGAACAAATTAAATTTGTTTATATATGTACATATATACATATCGAGCCCTAACCGCCAAAATAACGTAAGCGACGTTTTTTTCAAAATTTTCTTTTTGATGCAGAAATGTATCTCGATGCTCTAGTAATATTTCTGCATCAAAAACAAAATTTTGAAAAAAATGTCGCTTACATTATTTTGGCGGCTAAGGCTCGATATATTTAAATCCTCCCATAAATTATCTGCCGCAAAAAATGTTCACTCTTAATTCTCTTGCTTTATTTATTTTTTTATTTTTTGTAAACTTATTTACATTACATATAAACTCCGTATTCCGTGTTTTATCTCATCCGTGGACGCATTTTGCTCGTTTTATTTATGTTATACATACTTAGCTGTAAAAGGTGTTATTAACCTTATTTATATTTTTGCTATTACTTGTGCACCTCTTCCTTTGCCTCGCCCAGGTTATATACATATGTACATATGTTGGTATCATTTATTGCTACTATACATATATATTACACAAATTTTCTATTCTGGAACTGCTACTGCCGCTCATGTACGTACATATGTACACACGATGTAGCGAACATTATTCTTCATATGTACATTTGTACATGCTTATGTACAACGCATACCTGCTTTTACTGGGCTGGTTTGGGGTTTCTGTTGGGGGCAACACGCTCACAATGTGAATGTGTATTCACGGCCAATGCCATGTTAATCTACATTTGTTGTGTCTTACTGCTGCTGTTGCTGCTGCTGTCGTCTTTAGCTCTGCGATCAGTGGGGTTAGTTGACGTACTGCTGTCTTGTCTACCTCACTAGCTATTCTGCTAAGTGGGCAGTGGTGATGGCGGTGTTGGCGGTGGCTCATGATGGGCTTGCGGTATGTGTGAGCGAGCAGTGCATCCCATAGATACACGGTTGGTTTTTCTCCCTATCCAATACGTTCTTCATACATCCCAATACATTCGCTATTCGTTATGTCGTGCATAGCTGGAATTTTTCTCTATACTCGCATTGTAGCTGTAAAATAATTTAAATACAACATTTTTACCTGAAGATAATTTACAAACTTATTTTTAACACTTTTGGCAGCATTCATTCACAGGTTCTTTTTACTCCTGTTATGAAAACAAGTGTACAAAGCATTTGAAAGTACATACGTACCGATGTATGTATGTACATATTGTAGTGAGTGGTCAATGTGATTTATATTATTCCCCATTATTTGGGTCATTGACCGCAACCGCTGTGAATATCTCAATGATGTTGCAGTAAAGCAGACGTTGTGGTTTTTGCTGATGACAATTAGGTTGCATCATACTTTTACTTTTATTATTGACGTTTTAGCTAAATATGTATATAAACCATTACATTGACCTTTAGTGGTGTTGCAATGTTTAAGAGCATCTAATAAGCATCTTTGAACAGTTTTACACTAGCATACATAAGAAACATTTTACATAAAAAGATCCAAAACATATCTGCGACCATAGCCTCGATTTTTTTTGGTTGCGTATTTCATGAATTCTAAAGGGGCGGCAGTTATGCAGTGTGAACTTTTAATGATTATGAAATTTTTTGTGCATTGCTGCTTTTGCCGAGAAAGTAAAAAAAAAATGGTTTTATTGAATTAATATATATAAATACTCTTAATATGTACTCTTGATCTTTATTTCTTAAAAACTAAAAATATTTTTGTATTTGTTTTATTTCAGAATTCATAGAAGACTGAGGATTTAGATTTAAAGTAATAAGAGGATTTCCATTTAATACGCGATTTAGTGAGCGTCTGGGATCTCTGGGATCAGCAATAGCAAGTTTTATTATCTATCACATCAATTAAAACAAAACGTCGATATTTTTTCTAAAGCTGCTGCAGTAGTATATCGTAAAGAAAACGCAGCATCTGTCTGCCGGTATTTTTGCGCCGATTAGCACCTGTTGTCGTTCTGCGACGTTGTGGATTATACAAAAAGCTAAAAAAAACACGGCCATACAAAAATAGCTTGGCAAAAGTGTACTGACAACGCGCTACTGTTTCTCAATAACTTTAAACAAACCTAATCAATAGTATTCTTGATATTCCCTTTCAAAGCGCACACCGTTTCCGGTGCCTAAAAAGGCGTTACCGTTCTGATTATTTGCACCAAGGATTTGGCGTTTCAATAGCTGCAAGTCATCAAGCGCTGATATCAGGGTAGTAAACACAAGCATTAAATACAAGTCAGAACACACAAAGACTAAAGTGAGAAATAAGAAATTTGGAGAAAAAAATTGAAAGAACTGGGCATACTGTCCGCAATCACGCAATTTTAAAAAGGCAAAGAAGTTGCTTACACAAAGCTTTTAGCGCTTTGCAACTACCATTGAAGACCATCTATAACTACTGTCAAATTAAAAAAGCAGATCAGCGAACACAAGAAAAAAGTGTAACAAAGCATAGAAAGTTGGAAACGTGACAGTTTTGTGCAACATAATACGGCTTGCGCGATATTAATAACCGAAGCCGGGCTGTAAAAAAAGCTACGTACAGATACAACCTGTCAAAAACGAATCGTTAGATCGAGAGTTTAACATTAGCGCTTTTGCGTACTGATTGCGTCAAAACAAAAAAAAAAAAACATCTAAACGAAACTGCGCAGCGAGCTGCTGTACTTGCAAAGTAGTAGTGGTGAAGTGAGTGCGGCGCAAGGGGGAGGTAACGCTAATGAGGATCTACTGGCAGCATGAGTACACTGGGGGGAAGTAGGGGAGAGCGAAATGCCAAGCCCAAGTTCTCAGCACTCGATATAAATCGAATGTACAAAAATAGTCGCGTAAGTTTTATAGGCTTCATAAATATTTAAAATAACGCATTTCGAATATAATTAGTTTATTTAGTTTATTTATTTAATGCAAAGCAACATACATGTAATGTATGTTTCAGCCACTTGCATTTGATATGTGTTGTTAATTATACTTCCTACTCGACGTATCAGTGGATATTTTTATAGTGATGTATTTATTTTTACTTAAATGCTAAACGCTCTTTGTAATGCTTTTTTTAGGGTGAACCAGCTGAACCATCTGCACAAAAGAATCAAGTGCCACGTAAACATGGAATGCAAAGTTTGGGCAAAGTGCCGTCCGCAAGGCGACCCCCAGCTAATTTACCATCCCTGAAAGCTGAAATAACAAGTTCGCCAACTACGAATAACAATCTAATAACATCAAGCGGACAAGAAGGTATGTTATATTGACTAAAATTATTAAAAAAAAAAATCTTATAAGAAATGTTAACTTCTAAAAGAATGTTACTTGTATTGCCAATAAGTGTATCCCGAATGCAAAGCTGATAGAGGCATAAGCGGACCACCTATTTGTTGAAGAATCGAAAAACGAGATGAATGGCTTTGCTATAAATAAGTTCACTTTTCACATTTAGAATACTGCAAGCTGGCTCCCAACAATAAGTCAGTCATACTCCTTACGGACATTGGAGTTTGGCGTTTTGCTTATGGTGTTTTCGTTTCTTCAAAAAAATGTTGCCCTTCCCGGGTGCGAAATGGGTTTGATGTTACACTCAACACTGTAAAAGGGCCTGTTTTTGCCTTGTCTAGCTCGCCCAATTCATAATATTATCGAATCGGATTTTTAAGGCAAATGTTCAAAGGGTGGAAAATGTGAATTTTTTGCCTTACAAGAGTGTGACATTTTAAGAGACGAACACAAAATTTTCTCACCTTTATTTTAGAAACGAACACGAAAAGAGAAAGGGAACATTTTTTGGTAGAAACGAAATCGCCATTAGTATTTAGTTTATAGTATGTATGTACATATTGTACCTTTGCAACCCCCTCTTCTAGGTTGTGTAAAAATTTCATAGCTGTATGGATTATATTTTTATACTGACATAAGAAAAATCAGTTTTCACTTCAATTGTTTTCGCGAAAGCGGCGGTTAATCTTTACCATATCAGCGTATGTAGAAAGGTCATCTTAAAATCAGATCTATTTTCGAGATTTAATTAATGTATGTATAAAAGTGAGCCTTCATTACGGCCTTGGTCATATCGAAGAAATAGTACAGAACTCAAAAGTTGTAGATGTATTGTATAAAACTCTATGACCTTCCCCCAGTCTACTTGTAGTTGCCCAGTAGTTGTAGAAAAACCTCAAATTTGTCCATCAAAAAGTGTTTTCACAGATCTTTAGGTCCTCTTGAACTATAAATCCATCTGACAAAATTATTTTTAATGCATTCATATACATATTTCGCACATGCACCTTCGAAATTTTTCAGTAAATTCAACAAGCGGCGGTCAAGTAACAACACACACACCTACAGGAGCAGCACCAGGCAATCAACAACAGCATCAACAACAACAACAGCAACTGAAGAACAGCAGCAACAAGTCCGCACTTTGTAATAGTAACAACAATAATAACCACAGCAACAAGAATAGCATTAATAACAGCGTCAGCGGTCTAAAGCTTGTTAACAACTCAACAGCTGGTAGCGCTGGCAACAGTGGCGGTCAACAGCTGCGCAACTCTTCGGTAGTGAATCAAGCCAATCAACAACAGCAACGAAATTCGCCAATAACATGGTCAGCAGTGACAACTGGCAACGACATGACCCATGGTGGTGGCGGCGGGAAAGGCAGCGGTGGTGGTGGGGGCAAATCTGCTGTACCGCCACTCTACCAGAGTCCACAGTTTCAATACGAATTTCCAACGTTAGATGGCACGGTTGGCGGCGGAGGCGGTGGTGGTGGTGGTGGCAGCGCCAGCGCATCGAACCGCAACAAACAACACCAGCAACAGGATCATTATCAACATCAGCATCAGCACCAACAACAACACCACCATCAGCATTCGAACCAACAGCATCATCAGCAGCAACATTCACAACAAAATCATCATCAACACCATCATTCACAACACCATCATCAACAACAAAATCATCATCCACACCAACGAGACTACAACAACCAGCAACATGGGGGCGGTCGTCACGGGCACGATCAGCGCTACGATGCGCACAATTACAAAGATGGCAGCGACGGCGACGGTGGCAGCGATTACGCGTATCAGCAACAGCGTCATCATCACCATCACCAGCAGCAACAGCAACGCGAACTAAACGAAGTAAGCCTGCGTCCCCAAACCGATGCTGCCGCCTGGTTGCAGCAGCAGGAGAAATCTGCCAAGGGCGTTGTCGAAGGCCAATCGAACCAACAGGCCCAGGGCCACCAGGCACAGAATGCCAATGCTGCGGGAGCAGCAGTGCCGTTGCCGATCCTGCAGCTAATGCCGTCGTTCATGCAGCGCGGCGCACCAATGCCACCAGCTGGCAGTGGTGGCGGGGGTGGAAGTGGAAGTGGCGGCGTTGGAGTTGCTGGAAGCAACGGTCCACGCTCACAGACACCACCAAATTATCAAAATGGCATTGGGGGCAAGGAATCGGTTGGTGGTGGCAGCGGCGGCTCATTACGCACGCAACGCTCAGCGGGAGGCAATGGTGGTGGCGCGCAGGATTATCGTTCTTGCTCACCAGTTGTTAGTAATTTCCGTACAACCTCTGCAATAGCCAAAAGACCACCACAAATGGCAACGCCCCCGCTGGGTGGCAATGGCGGCACGCAAACACCCAACGGTGGGAGCGCTGGAGGCAGGAAAGAGAAGGAATTCATCATTGAACCTGAGGTGGTGCAAATGCAACGACCAATCATACGCGAAGAAGATTTGGAGCGAATGAATGCTATAGCCAACGACGACAGCTGGACAAAACAAGACGACATTGACTACACAAAAAAGCTGACATTCTCAGATGATGACTCACCTGAGGAGCATACCCCAACACAGGAGCGTGACCGACCAGTATTCAACAAGTCAGGCGTCAGCGGTGCGCCACTTGATCAGCGCAAGAGTTCAAACGCGAGTAGCGTGAACAGTAACTGGCAGCGTGGTGGTAGCATTAAGGACCAACGTGAAAGTATCGAGCGTGAGAAATCCACCGAGCGCGAAGACACTCGTCAGCAGAATGGACACCGCAGCAGCGCCGCCGGCACCATCGCACTGGACGCCGCTGTGTATGAGCGCGTAAAGCAACGTAAAGAAGAGGAGGAACGACGTGAGAAAGAGCGTCGCGAGGCAGCCGCACGCAAGCTACAGGAACTCGAAATGAAGATATACAACAATAAAAAGGCCGCGAGCGCTGCAGCAGCCGGCAGCGGTGCAGCAATAACAACGGGAGGCGGCGACGCATTAGAACAGCCGACACCACCGCCATCGATAGGTGGCGGTAGTGAGGAGGAATTTAACATGCGTCGCAGCGGCGGCGGTGGCGGCAGAGATTTCGAGCGCGGCAACAGTCGTGGCGGCTATGAACCGCGCGACATGCGTGGTGGTGGCGATTATGTACGCGGCGAACGTGCCGGGCCTGGCAGCGGTGTTGGCGCACCAACTATAGGCGCCGGTGGCAAACCGATATTTTCTGCACAATTCCAGTCGAATTTGCCACCACGTTTTCAGAAGCAGCAGCAGATGCAAGCGCAGCTAGGAGGACCACTGACAAGTGGCGGTGGCGCTTTGGGCGGCAATGGCAAGCCTCCCGGTTCACTCGGCGGTGGTTTGGAAAAGTCTGCCTCTTCGGGTTCCGCCTATGAGGCTGGTAATCGATACATGCAAAAGGGTGGCGTCGGCGGTCCGTTGCAACGCGGCGGTCGTGGTGATTTTCGTGACAATTACACGCGTGGTGGGTACGGGCGCATGCGTAATGATAGTGAGCGTGACGACGAGCCGCGCTATCATGGTGGGCGCGGTGGCGGACGCGGAGGCGACGATTACATGCGTGGCAACGGCATGTCCCAGAATCAACTGTCGCGCAGCATTTCTGATACTTCACAGCGCAAAACTAGCGTCTCATCCAACGACGAGCCCTGCAAATATGGCGGCAATAGCAGCCTTAATGATTCTAAGGAGTTTGGTAATAGCGCGCTTGTATCATCTTGGGCTGAAGAGACTGACGCCGAGCTGAAGCGACAACGTGAGGAGAGTTTCTCTTCGTCGCATAGCCACGAATCGCTGCCCATTAAAATACTGCAACGTCCGCATACGCAGAAAAGTGTATCGGAGGAGGAAACCTCCTCCGCGCAGCAGCAACAACACTTGCACTCGCAGCAGCCGCATCAACAACAACAGCAATTACAATCTCAGCAGCAACAACAACAGCCTCAGCAACAACAACCGCAACCACTTCTTCGTCGCAGCGAAAGCGAACAGACAACGCCCTTTGCACCCACTCAAATTCTGCGCCGCTCCGAGTCGTCGAGCGATGAAAAGTCAAAGCCACAGCAGCAGCAGCAGCAGCCGACAAATATCGCCGAAACTGCCGCACCTAGTAAGATTGTTGAAGAGAAGAGTGCACCGACTACGAAGCAACAAGCATCAGATGCCGAATCTCAGCAAAAGAAACGTAAAGAAAGCGAAAGCAGCAACACCACTGTTCCCACAGTTCTAGGCGCGCGTAAAGAATCTGTTTCTACAGATGACAACAAGCAGCCGTCTGATGAGAATCGCCCAGCACCAACGACAGCAGCAGTAAGTCAACCACAGCGCGAGCCGAAGAGGCCAACTCCCCGTGGTGCAAGTGGAGGAGGCGGTGGAGGAGGTGGACGTGATCGTGGTGGTGAACGCGATCGAGATCGTGATCGTGACAGGGACCGTGACCGAGGCTCACATTCGCGTGGCTTTGCTGGTGGCCGGGGTATGCGTGATTGGAATAATCCACGTGGCATGCGCGGCGGGCGTTACTATGGCGCTAATGAACCACGGCTCGCCAGCGAATCGGAGCATTCGGAGGATATTGATGAGGAAGCCTTTGGTGGCGGTGGACGTCGTGGTGATCGTCAAAGTTCCAAAGTACCACGAAAGGATCATGGCGGCGGCGGCGGCGGTGGCGGTGGTCATCGCAGTGGCGGCGAAGAACGCAGCTCAAAAGAAGGTTTCGCACCACGCGGTGAACCATCGCGTCGTGGTCGCGGCGGCGGCGCGAATATTGGTGATCGTAGCGATCGCAGTGATCGAGGTGAGCGCGGTTCTTCATCATCATATCGACGTAACGACGGTGGCGGCCGCGGCCAGGGTCGCCATTATGGCCGACAGCCTTACGATGAACACCATAAAGATCATAAACGCAGCTCGGACTCTGAGCAGACAGTCGGTGGCAGTGAGGTGGATAAGACGAAACAAAACCAATTGGCGCTAACTGCTGGACTCACAAAGGTTAAGGATGCCAACAATGCGACGACAGCAACATCCGCGGATGAAAAGACTCGCGCACAATCGGGTGGAAAGCAACAGGCAGCACAACAGAGCGGCGCGAACTCGCAGCAAGCAAAGAAGGTGGCCGAGCCAGAAAAAAAGACCACCGCGTCCGCTTCAGCAAAGTCGTTTAGCAACAGCAGCAGTGGCCTGCAGGGTCGCAAAGAGAGTGCCTCGAGCACTAAAACTGATGATGTCTCCGAGCGGGATCGCAAGTCTGCTTCGAAGGAGAAGGACCTACCCAGCGGCGCGATGCAACAGCCGCTGCAACAGCGCAGCAGTAGCTCGAGCCAAATGGCAAGCTCGCAGCGCAGCAACTCTAGTGTCGGTACAAAGAAGCAGGATTTGCCTATGGCTTCCTTGCCCACTTCGCAGTCGACATCCGCCATTGGCGCAAACAAAACTAATCAGCAACAACAACAACAACATACTGTTACAAAACCACCACCAGGCCTAGGTGGCGTTAACAGCGGCGGCAACAACTTCAAACCTACTAATAGTACATCGCTGCCGAATCAAAGTGTCACTGCACAGCAGCAGCAAAAGCAGAGTGTCGAATTGCAAAAGAGTAAATCAGATACAAATGCCGTTACATCGAATGTGGCACGACAGCAGTCGATCACAACGCAGCGTACTTCCGTCAGCGAAGTGGATAAGGTAAAAATGGGCACAGCCAACGAAAAACCGAACGCGGCGGTGAGTGGCGCTGGTACTTTATTGCTAGATGGCGCGCCGGTCAACACGATCATCTTCGAAAATACCAACTACAAGCAGCAAGCACAGGCAGCACAGCTAAAACGCTCCTCGGAGTCGTTGTCATCAGCCGTAAGTAGCGGTGTAAGCGTCTCCGCTGTTGAAACGCTCAGCACGGCACTCTCGCAGATGTCGTTCGCCAAAGCTAATGAGTCCTCAGTGCCCGGCGGCAGTGTGGTAGTGTCCGCCGCGGGAGAATATGAAAAGGATATGAAATTGGGCTTCACTTTCGGTGATGCCCCTGAGACGTACACCAATTCGGCAGCAAACAAGCAGCCAAATGACGCCGATACGAAGGTTGTCAGTGCAGCTGCGCAACAAGTTGGCGTCGCAACTGTGGGTCAACAGCAGCAGCAGCAGCAACAGCAACAAGTGCAACAACAACAGCAACAGGCGCAGAATATTATTTCAACAGCCGACTTGAATATGAAAATAGCCAGCGTAAAGAAGGTATGGGAAAGCGTAGCACCCATGACGTCTGAGGCGAACACGTCGTCATTGCAACATCAGCAGGTGGCACATCAGCAGCAGCAACAGGCGCAACAGCAGGCCCAGCAGCAACTGCAGCATCAGCAGCAACAGCAGCAGCAACAACAACAACAGCAGCAGGCCCAGCAGCAAATGGAAGTAGTGGATCCCAGTGGCCACATGTCAGCAGCCGCCTCCTTCGTAGCAGCTGCTGTTGCCGCATCACAACATCAACACCAACAACAACACATGCCACACTATGCGGTCGCTGCAGTGCCGCTCCACCAACATCAGCACCACTCGCTCTCTTCGCCCGGTCCCGTACCCAGCGGCTACGGCGGCCATGGCTCGCCTTTCGACGTCGCCACACCATTGGAGCAGCAGTTTACGCAGAGCGGCAGTATAGTGGTGGGCAGCACCGATGATTCGACAAATGCTGTTGGCTATCCCAGCCCCCAGCAGGCACAGCAACAGCAGGCGCAATCTGCTGCCGCTGCTCAGCAACAACAGCAAGTGCTGAAGCACCCAGATGTTGTGAAGCAGCAGCAGCAGGCGTCTGCCGCCGCTAAGCAATTGCAGCAGCATCATGGCTCCTCGATGGGCATGTCGCCACCTCCTAACCTACAACAACAGCAGCAGCAGGCACAGCATCAACAATCAGCCGCCGCACAACAACAACAACAGTTGCATGCCGCCCCGCCCTCTTTCTACCAAACATCACCGCAATTTACCGGCATCCCTAGCCCGCCCACGGTCGTATTCAACTCATCGCAAATGGCACCGCCACCACCCTCGCAGGCTGGTCTCTACGCACCATTCCATTCACTCGAACATTCGAGCCGTTCGCAATTTTCAGCCGCCGCAGCTGCGCACAGTTTCCCCGGTCACTATAGCGCAGCAGCAGCGGCTGCCGCTGGTGGACCCTTCAACGCATACACCATGCAGACGCCACCCAATATGGGGGCTGCACCCACACCCGAAATGTATTCCAGTCTAACGTCACAGTTTCGTATGGGCGGTGGTCCATCGCCCTTTGGCAATCCTAACTCGCAACAGCTGAACAATCCGAATGCACCAGCCGTAACGATAATCTCCTCTAATTCCAACTCAATGATGTCATCTGTAGGTTCCGTTAAGCCACCGCCTTCTTCGCAACAGTTAGGCACGATCGGTTCTAAGGGCGCAGGTGGTGGTGGTCCCTACGCAGCACAACAGTACATGAATCTGTATCCCGGCCCGCCACCACAACACCAAGGCGGTCCACCCGGTCCGCCAGGCGCACATCAATTGCAATCGAACAGCTACTACTCGAATTCGGCTAGTGGGCCAAATGGCCCCGCTTTCTACGGTGGTCCACCACCGCCACAAGGCGCAGGCGCCGGTGCGCAAAATTTTGGATTGGCAGCAGCAGCTGCAGCAGCGGCTGGTCTGTATGGGGGACATCAGGGCGGACCGCCCGGCTCGAATGGTCCACCTGGCCCCCAAGGACCACCTGGTCCGCAGTCACAACACACAATGGGCAACTTTAATACGCCGTTTATGAATTCGCAGCTGTTGACGGCGGCGAGTATCAATCAATTTCGCGCCGGACCAACGCCGCAGCAGCAGGCAGCAGCCGCGGCCGCATATATGAAATCCGGACAAGGACAAAGTCACCTGCAAGACTCGGTAAGTAAGCTGGGAAGGGGTGAAAAAGGGATAGAATGGCAAATGAGAGGGGCGTATATCTTGGGGGTAAAAATTTAACTCGTGTAGATGAAAAATAGCTGATTTTTATTTTTTTAAATTGTCCTTCCAGATGGGTCGCCAACTAAAAAGTCCACTCGGCGCTGACGTCAGTTTAAGTTTGGCCAAACAGGTGCAATCACAACCGAGTCCACCACATCATAAAAATTATGGCGGCGTAAGTAACATTTGGTTTCTTACATCAAACATTTCTTTTATATAAAACACACCAATATTACTAACTACTTATGTCCCTTTCCAGTGGGACTTGCAGAACCAAGTAATGCAACAACAAGCACAACAACAATCACAATCTCAGCAGCAACAAGCCATTCAACAGCGTGCTGGCGGTGGAGGTGGTGTTGGTGGCGGTGGCAATGTGCCGAATATGCCGCCTGGTAGTCGCGGCGGAGGTCCACCCGGGGTGCAGGGTGGTCCTGGCGGGGGCAGTGGCGGCGGCCAAGGTGGGCAAGGACGTTATCCGACGCCCATACAGCGGCCCACCAACTATCCGCAACATCCACAAGGTGGCCCACAGTCACAACAACAACAACAACAACAGCAGCAGCAACAACAGCAATCGCAAGCGGGCCAACGGCCCAATAATATGCGGCAAGGACCTGGTGGTGGACCACCCGGCGCTGGCGGCGGTAATGGGCCACAGGGTGGCGTCGGTGGCCCTGGCGGTCACAATAATGGCAATGTAGGCGGCGGCGGCGGTGGACCCAATAGCGGTGGCGCCGGCGGTCAAGGTGGAGGAGGCCCTGGTGGTCCAAATAATAGTGGCGGCGGTAGCGTTGGACCCAATGGCGGTGGACAAATGAATAAGCCCTATTATGCGAACAATGCAGGTGGCGGTGGAAGTCGAGGTAATTGAATAAGGCCAAGCAACAAAACACACATGCCAACAAGAAACACGACACAGTAAGAACTAAAAAATTAAAGAATGAAATTAAAATGAGTATAAGGGAAAACTCACGAAACTCACAGATGATGCTGATGATGAACTCAACACGAACGATGTGAATTTAAGGAGTATGAACAGAAAAACATTTATATACATACAAATATGGAAGTCTTATAACGTATAACTGATGCAAATTGTGTGTGGCAAAATGTGAGTAAAAATCGCAAATAAATGAAAATATGAACTGCGAAAGTTACTTGATTAATTGCAACTGCAGATTGCGACAAATTGAGTAAAGAGAAGAGAAATGCAAATAAATATTATAATTGTTTCAGTAGCAGAAATTGCGCGCATGCGCAACAAAAAATAGTAAAAAATATGAAAATTATAAAACAAAAAGTTGCACGTAAGCAATGACACATTTTTCCTAACAGAAAAAAGTTTGTGGTGGCGAAGGGGGTAATGTGAAGGTTTGCCGACCGAAATTTAACTTTTGCCAATTTAAGCAGCTGAAATGCAGTATTAAAATAACGCATTTGCAGCAAGTAAATTCTCATTTACCACAAAGTGTAGAATTTCAGCCACCACAAATGCAAGAAATTTTTTTATTGGCAAATATGTGCAATTGTTTCGTGCGCAGATAAAAAAAAAAAGTTGTAAGGTGGAAATGTAACACAACAATTACTTACGTATCCTTAATAATCCCCTAAAATGGTAAAACAAAAACACTGCTTCAATGTTTGGTGAAAGATAGAAACAAAATATTACAAAAAAAAACGAATAAAGTAAAACATTATTATTAAAAGAAATTAATTAATTACAAAATATGAAGAGAAGAGCGCATTTTCAAGTGGCTCGAATGGCGATGCACGAAATAAGCGAAATATATATGGAAAAGAAATTTGAGAAAGGAGGCAAATGAGTGAATGCAAATTAGTAAAACGAGCAATTATGAGCGCTGAAAAGTAGAACTGATCAAAAACTGTAATTGAATTTGGGAACGGAAGAGAAGTAAAAAATAAAAAGTGGATGGCATGGCAGCAGTTAGCAGCAGCATTAATGGCTACTAGCCAATTTATATTAAACTACTTACATATATAGGTGCGTCGAGAGAACGCCGGTAGGCGCTTGTGGTTGTGGAGTTGTAAAATGCCGCTGAAAGCGATTTAGCACAGCGTATATTGTTTAATACTGCATGCTCTTACGTGTATCGATTTAAATATTTGTTAAAATAAATTTAATTGCTTTTGATATGAACTGAAATTGCTAGTGCGTTTAAAAATTAAAGAAATTAATTTTCAAAATGTTTGAACTCACCATGACTATCGTTTGTCAAGCAATTACAATAAAAACATTGAAGCGCTTTAAATGTTTATTGCGCGTGAAAAATTATAAATTATTATTTTAAAACAATTAAATCCACAATGTTTATTGAAAATTTATAGTATTTCGCCAGCATATAATTACAACAGTCTCAGCATTATATTTTTTCTAACAAATATTCATTTCACAACTCTTCGCGGCTACAAAAAATCTCGCCACACTGCAAAGCAAGTAGATTATATATATACTTACTATATACAAAAATATGTAACAATTTATTATATAAAATACGAATAAGGAACTTTGGCAAAAAATTATATGAATAAAAAGTTCAAAATTGCTTTCTATGCAATTTTCATAACTTGTAAAAATGCTTTGAGTGGCTCAACGCAAAAACATTCGTTTGCACTGTGGCAAAGGATAGTGCATTTATACCAGTTTTACGTCTACCGTCACAACTGTTTGGACACATACATACACACATTACTTACAAGCATGAATGCATGCATATAACTAAATAAATATATTTACAAAAAAAAAACAATAATGTAAAAATACTTGGAATATTACGCCTTGAAGTATAGTGGAGGGGGCAATGAAAGGAACTGTCGAAAATTATCGTTCTTTGCGTGAAAAAGCAAGTTCTTTTATAACTTAGCAGGCAGCAGTATAGCTGATTGTTGTTGTTATTATTTCGAGAAGTGTTGGTTAACATTTCGCAGACTCTAAATTTACCTTTATTTTTGTTCATAAATAATTGAATTCAGTAGATTTACGTTTGCCATAAGGAAATTCGAAACTAATTTGCACAGCGTAAAGCAAATAGTTTTTGAACCGTTTGGCGAGCGGCTAAATATCGCTTTTGTGTGCTAAAGTGTTTGTTTTCATTTCAATAAGGAATATATCTGTGTTTTCGTTGCGTTTCAAATAATCACTTCCAATAGTTTCAATTGATTAGATGAATTACAAATTGTGTAAAAAAGATTAATGTCGTTCCAAAAATATTATTCCAAAAAGGTTACCATTAAGCAAAACAAGCTTAACTGGAGAAAGCTTGGGGTTAGGTACACTATTTTCCAAACACAAACTAAGTACTGGATTTTTTTCGGGCTGCACAAAAGTACCATTGCGTGTGAAAACCAAAAGTAAAGTAAATACTATGCTGCACTTATAGCCTACCCCTCTCATTCTCACTTCTGCTCTGCTCTGATCACCTGCGCTAGCACGCAAATCGTGCTGCAACTGCAAAAAAATGCCTGCCTTCACACTTTCTACCAATTTACATAGGTACACACCGTCTTCTGTAGCCACTTGAAAATGTCGCGCCCACATACATACATACATGCAAACATATATATTGCTATTATTTACACTATATTATCTACTATTAAACACAAAAGATTCATTTAACAATATTTTTTTATATATACATACATATATTAAAAATCATAATATATCGGTAATAATAAACATATATATTTCTCTTAAAAAAAAAAAATAATGCATACATACATTTTTTTTATTTATTTTATAAAAAAATACATTATTTAAATATTAATTTGTAGTTTAAAGCGCCAAGCAAAAATACAGCGTAAGAAAGTTAACCTAAAACACTGCTTAAACAAATGGAAAAGTAAATAAAAAATAAACTAAAAATCACAAAAATTGCAAAATAAAGAAATACATTTTCTTCTACTTTAGCCGAAGTTTTTAAATCAACAAATATACACAGTTGGAACAACAGGTTTTTACTAGGCACTGAAAAAATGTAGCAAAAAAGTAAATTTGAGAAATATTTAACAACCTCGTGGTGAGAGAATCCTATGCGCATATTGGGTGCAGTAGCAATATTTCAAATTCTGATTCTGGTAAAAAAAGATTATGGTAATGTGAAGTTTTTAGTTAACTAAGTTGTGTTTATTTCTATTCCAATGATATTATTTACATATTTTTTTCTTTTGATTTGCTAACTCATTTTATCCTTTTAAGCAACGACTCGACTCTAAAATCGCGCAATTATTTTCTATATATTGATTTTTAAATGCAAACCGATTATTGCCAGCATTAAAAATTTCTTAAGCGCCGAATATCTCGCTTAAAATTGCACTTAAATCTAAAAAAAAAATTGCTTAATTGCTAATTATTTCCTATAATAGAAGTATTCACTTAAATTGTACAATTTAGCACCGAGTTTTTCTTTATTTTTAAAAAATTATATTTGTATTTGAATGTTAACTTGTATGCGTTTATATTAAAAAAAAAACTGCAATTTTATCGTTCGTTTAAGAGCTTTAAAAAATAAATAAAAAAAGTTTCCTAAGTTAATTGTAAAAAATGCAATGCATTAAACTTTAATGAATAACACAGAACTAAGTAAAGATTATTAACTATCGCAAAGTATAATAATGTTTATAAATAATACACAAAAATCAAAGTAAAAGAAAACTACATTCACAAAAAATATACAATTTTTCAAATTAAAAAGGGAAACCCGAAAACAAAAAAAAACATTGGTTTTATTATTTTGTAAAAAAGTATCGTAGATTTAAATTTGAATTTTTTTACGGCTTATAATTTCACCAATCGCTTAAAAGTATGTTTTGTTTTGTAACTAAATTTATTAGGGATTTATTGCTACCTATTTTGCTCCTGTTCCGTTGTTTTTTATTGAAAATTTTTTATTATTATTATTTTATTTATTAAAGTAGAGCACCTTTTATGCCAATGCTTGGAAGACAACGAGTCTTTTTCACCTGAGTGACAAGAATTTATGAAAAAAGTTTCATATACACAGTTAAGCACTAACATGTTTCCTTCCGAGCGAAGTTATTCACTTGTTCAAGGGTACATACATATGTGCATTCCATAGTCAATTGGATATTCGCATTTGTGCTATTCCAAAAAGCAAAAGCAGATACCAGGCAAAATATCAACCAAAATACAGTTTTCATGTGCAACGGACTAGCTTTTCGTGATCGCCTCAACGAAAAATATTCAAAATGGCCGTTACGTTCATATGTTATATAGAATCGCTACTTTTATTCGGTGTTCCATTCTTTAGTTAAATACTGTAACTCTCCCGTAAATAGCTTTATATCAGTATTACAGTTACAGCATTTCTTTTATTTGTTCGCCTTTAATGAAAAAATAAATAACCTATATCTTTTTTGACTATCTCTTTTTTCCCCCACCTTATCCCCATGCAGCCAACCATGCCTAGAGTACTTACGGAGATGCAAAACTATAATTTCAAGAATATTACAAGTAAAAAATATGCTGTCAAGATGGTGCATTAGCGTACAAAATACATTATTCACCTTTTTGTTGAGTGAAAATGAGAAAAACATTACTGATAGATAAAACAAAATAAAATATAACATATTAGCAGAAAAAGAAACAATTTACCTAAGTAGAAAAAAGTAAACTAAACAATAGTGTTCACATAACCAATCAGTAAAATGGAATGAAGAAGGCAGTCAGCGAATAAAAAAGGAACGTATTTTTCACCAATTTATAGGAACAACGGCAAGCAGCAAGCATTAATATGGAATATGGAATGGCAATTAGCATTGGAAGTTGCAATAGAAAACGACGTCGGAAGCTAGTAATGCAAGATAAAAGCAACAAAAACTATCGGCAAACGAGAAGCGCATGAAAGGATGACCTAAAGAATGCAGCAAATTTTTAGAAAGCTTAAAAACAAGGTGAAGCATGCACGGAAAAGCAGCACGCATTATTATATATAGAGTCGCACATAACCACATACATACATACAAACATATGTTCATTGTATTACACGATTTTATTAATATAATTTTAATTTTAAAAAATATAACCTTATGTACGTATCAACATATATTTTTATTTAGCCTATACATTTAATATTATTTTATAACGAAAAACAAAAAATGCGCGTGTAATTTGTAATTGTAATTTAATAGAACTCTGAAAAAGAATATTAAAATTTCGAATCTTGCATAAATAGGCAACAAAACAAGCGGAAATGATGTGAAGGAAAGAGGAAATACATAAATGCAACTTTGATAATACACTGCTATCAAAACTTTCGCAACTTCAAGTTAAAAATTTATTTCTCAATCTGGCAATACCTAACTCAATATAATAAAGGAAGCGGATATGGCAGCGCGGTAACTGCAGTTGGTTGGTCGTAGGGATGGAAAGTTTTGAAAATTATTCGATTCTCGAATCTTATTTAAGCCTTACGATTCTTGGAATCGAATAATCGAGATTCGATTCTAATCGATTCTTTATTTAAAATTTTCTTTCACTTGAAAAATCTATAAAAACGGGTACTGTTTAGTAAGTGGCCCACCTATTTCGGGGTATTGCGTCCAAAGGGGTGACCCGATCCAAAAAATTGCACACAATTGCAGCCAAGGGTCTACCCATTATTTTAACATCCACTATTCTAATTTTTGGTCACTAATTTATTTACAAATTGGGTTTGAAATATGCCCTTTTTTGTAAAATTTGGAAATTAGTGTACATTTATCACTCCTATTCTCCTTAAAGCAGCCACTTCACCAATTCATTTTTGTATTCCCCTTCACTTTACACTTTACTCGATTAGTTATAACTTGATTTACGACTTTAATATTAACAAATTAATCACAATTCATTAAATAAAAACACTTTCAAAATCATGCGTCTGACTTTGGTTGCACATGCAAATTAAATGGCGGAGTTCAGCTGTCAAACTCCGAAATATGCAAAAGAATGAGAGACAACAGAAGATAGGATATAACCCAGTAAGCATTAAAAATATACAAAGGTGTTCTCTGCAAAAGGTGTTCAGCTCCTTTTCTTCGCAAAACAGAAAGGAGAATTCTACTGCCTGAGGGTTATAATCCCTAAGTGCGGCCGAAGGCCGCCTACGCAGAAAGGTGTTCAGCCCCCTTTCTTTGCCAACACAGAAGAGAATTCTACGTAGTGAGGGTTATAATCCCTAAGTGCGGC